GCGTGTGTGAGTGCGTGTGCGAACTCGTGTGTGTGCACTTCCATTCTGTGAAGAGTTCCATTGGAATTTTGATGGAAACTGTGTTGAATATGTAGATCGATTTTGGTAGGATGACAGTTTTCACATTATTACGCCTACCAATCCATGAGCATGGGAGGTCTTTCCATCTTTGGATATCTTTTTCAAGTTTTCTCTTAGTGTCTTAAAGTTATTATACAAGTATTTGACTTCCTTAGTTAAATTTACTCCAAGATTTTTGAAACTATTGTAAATGAGATGGTTTCCCAGATTATTTTTTGATTTGGTGATTGTTGGTAAACAATCTAGTTACTGATTTTTGTGTGTTAATTTTTTTACTGCTACTTTACATAATGTGTTTATTAGTTGTAGGAGTTTTTGGGGGGAAACCTTTAAGGTATTTTATATATAGAATCATATCACCTGCAAATAACAATACCTTGACTTCTCCCTTTTCCAGTTGTAGCCCTGTGTCTCCTTCATGTGTTTTACTATTCTGGATAAGGTTTCTTGTACTTTACTGAGCAGGAATGGAGAGAGTTGGAATGCTGTCTTTTTCTTCATATTAATGAAAAGTCTTCCAATTTTTCCCCATTTGATATGATGCTGGGTGTAGGCTTGTTATACATATATTGGCTTTATTGTGATGAATTTTATCTCCCATATCCCGAAAGTCTCCTGGAATTTTATTATAAAAGGATGCTGGATTTTGACAAAGGCTTTTTCTGCATCTACTAAGATGATCATGTAGTTTCTGTGATTGAGTCTATTAATGTGGTAGATTATATTTATTGATCTACATAAGTTGTGTTGAACATGTCTGTATCTCTGAGATGAAACCAATTTGAACATGGTAAACAATCTTCTTGATTTGCTCTTGAATTCAACTTACACATGTTTTATTAAGAGTTTCTGCATCTGTGTTCAGCAGAGAGTGACATATAATATAATTTTATTGGGCCTTTATCTAGTTTTAGTATCAAGATAATACTAATGCCACAGAAAGAATTTTGGAAGAGTTGCTTCCTTTTCTATTTTATGGAATAATTTGAGTTGTATTGCTATTACTTCTTAGAACATGTAATAGAATTCTACTCTACATCCATCTAGCCCAGGGCTTTTTTTATTTGGGAGATTTTTAATTACCGCTTGTTTTGGGAAATTTGTATATTGTGTGAAGATGTGTCATTGTGATTAGTTTAATAAAGAGCTGAATGGCCAATAGTTAGACAAGAGAGAGAGGTGGGATTTCTGGAGAGAGAGAGGAAGAGGAGGAATCAGGCATGTAGATTGTTCCAGGAAGATGCCAGGAGACTCTGAAGAAGTTTGACATACAGAACAGAGCAGCGATAACTGAGCCACATTGCAGAATGCAGATTAATAGAGGCTAGTTGATTTAAATTATACAAGCTAGTGGGACAAGCCTAAGCAAATGGTTAAACCGTCAAGCATCACGAGGTCTTGACAGAAGGCCTTCAGGCTGCTTCTCAACCATGTTTCTCCTTCTGCACTGCCTTCTAAGCGGCTAGCCTGCCTCTCCTCCACCCTTGTCCCTTTTGCTTTTTTCTCTTAAAGTCCATTTCTGTCCTCATTATCTTTTTTTCTCTCCACAGCTAGAGTCATTTTTGCTTTCTGGGAAACTGGAACCTCCGTTCTGTCCCACAGAAAATCTCAATAATTAACTTTTTGGGGTTTTCTATTTTAAGAACACCATCAAGAACAGCTTAGATAGACAAAAAAAGACATTTTCATTTACTTGATACTTGCACTGTGGGACTATATATATAAACTGAGTCTTCTCATTGCAGAGGATGAGGCTGTGGGGAGAGATACAGTGACTTCACTGACAGGTGGGGGAATTTTGGGGCTTTGCTGATGAAGATGGCCCAAGTCATAGTCTAGACCTGACACCCACACTGAGGTGCAGATCTGTGCTTACCTCAGTGGTGCAGGAATTAGCATAAGGCCAAGATCCTTGTAGGCTGTGGGGGTGGTGGTAGTGGTTATACTTCATGAAGTATAACATGCCCATGGCAATGCTGAAGCATGCATGGACAGCCCGTTTGTATTGGTTTCACGGTCTGAGTTGATGAGGGTGACTGACCAGGTCTCTTCCTCAGCGAACAGGTTTCACCAAGGTAGGGACTTGGATAGCTGGATTCAGAGTCCAGAGTGTTAACCATTAGGAGCTGGTGCTGGTTATACTGTAGAAAGGGCAAAATGAACATTTTGGGACTTCCTTCACAAGTGGCTGTGGACGTGTTTTGAAGGAGGAAATGGCTTTGTGTGTTCATGTGTACATAGATGCCATGTACATACAAATGTATGCACATATGTGCCTGCACATGGATGTCTGCCATTGTCTCTCCTATTGTCATGATGAAACACCACGACCAAGGAAACTTATAAAAGAAAGTATTTGACTGGGGGCTCACAGTTCCAGAGAACTAGAATCCATGACCATCGTGTCAAGAAGCAGGGCAGCAGGCAGGCAGGCAGGCAGGCAGGCAGGCATGTTGCTGGAACCGTAGCTGAGAGCTTACGTTCTGATTCACAGGCAGAAAGCAGAGATGGAAAACTAATGGGAAATGGCAAAGGCTTTTGAAGCCTCAAAGCCTACCCACAGTGAGACACCTGCTCCAACAAGACCACATCTCCTAATCCTTCCCAAACAGTTCCACCAACTAGGGGCCAAATATGTGAATCACATGAACTTTTGGGGGCTATTACCATCCAAACTATCACAGACATCAACCTTGGATGTCAGCCTCGGGTGCTGCTTGTCTTGATTTTTGAGACAGCATTTCTCATTAGGACCTGGGGCTCACCAATTAAGTGAGTCTTGCCAGCCAGTGAGCTCTAGTAACTGCACGTGTCTGCCTCCTCAACACTTAGATTAGAAGCATGCACCATCATGCTTGGCATTTTATGTGGGTGCTGGGGTTCGAGCTCAGGTCCTCATACTTGTGCAGGAAACATTTTACCAACTGAGCCAATTTCCCAACTCCAGTCATAGAAAAAGTTCATTGACTAATTAACAGAAGTTTTCTTTCTTGGGCTAAAAGTAGTAGCTTCTGTTATACCCTAAAGTGCCTGGCTTTTCTGATGGAGACGTCCAAGCACAGCTACAAGACTGGAATGTCCTGTGAGGGTAAGAATAGCCACACAGAGAGACGACTCCTGCTTCTGGGCCCCACAGTTGTCAGGAGTGTCTCATTGGCAAGCAGCTTCAGGCCAAGCATCTCAGTGTGGAGACAGGAGACCTGACCGCCCAGGCCTGGGAGCACATCTTTCTTTCCACAGCTTGGTGCCCATCTGAAAGTCTGATGTAGAAAAAAAAGAACCATTGATTTTTCTTTAAACATTCTTGGAATACACAGGCCTCTTTCAGCAACCATGGAGAACTTGGACTTGTTGGGGTTCCTCATTATCACCTTAAACTGCAACATGACCATTGTGGGTGAGTCTTGGAGGGGAAAAAAATCCCCCAAATCTTGTTCTGGTTTTGTTGTCGTAATCAAATTGACTCCCTTTAAAAAAATGTTGATTTCAGTTTTCAGTTTGTCTGGCCCACTCCCAGGGAAGGTCAGCGTATCACTGTTGGCGTGGGAACCCTGGATAGCTTCACAGGGTCATACCTTGCTCCCATCAACACTGGAGGAGGATGTGTGGGGTCAGCGTCAGTCTCAGGAAAGATCTGTTCTCTTAGCTTTTGAGTTCTGAATTTGAAGGCAGAATCAGGTATAATAAATGAGAAAGTAATGCTTCTGTTGTCCTTCCTCATCTACTTTTTTAGGTTTTATTTTGGAAATTATGTTACACATATTACTAATTTCTCTTAGCACTCTAACACATATCCCAAGTTTAATTTAGTTGTTTGTAGTCGTGGGGTTAGAGCTCAGGGCCTCATCCATGAGGTGCTGATACACGAAGGCAAGCCGCTCAAACACTGAGCTATGTCCCCCGCCCCTTGTGATATATTCATTCATTCTCTCTTACCAGTTTTCTTTATAGCTCAGACTGGCCATGAACTTCTGCCAGAGCTCTCCAAGTGCCGGGTTGCAGTCTTGCATAACCATGTATAGCCCTAGCTATTCTTTTAACAAAAGAATAATAAAGATACCCGAGATTGATCTGAACAAGCCAGTTTCAGAGAGGCATGGGATCTGAAAAAAAGGATGGAGAAAAGGTTAAGATTTGCCTGATGTGAAGTTGATAGGTTTTTCTTTCACTCTTATTTTGTATAATTAGAATACATAATCCTGGTTTTGAAAGGTTAAGCCCATAACTTCATCGCCTCATGATGCTTTCTCTGGGCTTGACGGCCTTTATAAATGATAGTTATTTCTCTTTTCTTCTGTTTGTTCACAGTTTTTGTTAGTGTCATTAGTAGTGACTGGATTAAGAGGAAAGGAACCTGGAAAGACTAGAAAAGGCAACATTCTTAAAGAACTCCAACTTCAAGAACTCAAAGTCACCATAGCAACAGGCCCTATGATGACAGGGGCCCTATAGGCTGATATAAATAAGGGAGACACTCGAAATATCACCTTCTATTTGCTCAGCACAATGGGGGGAATATGCCAAGGTCCTTTAAAAAGATTAATCCCTGAGAAGGGTGAGATCGAACCACATAGATTTGCCCAGTCAAAATGCTCTCTGGATCTTTCAGCCCAGGCCATGTTGCTGTTTCAGATCTGCTCACTGGAAACATCTTACAAATCATTTCAGGGCTGTTCCCAGCACAGCAAAGGTTTAGGAAGTAATCACCCTCAAGGGGGTGGTGGAGGGATTCAACGGCAGAGAACTTTCCTAGCATAGCAAGCGACAGGGTTCTGATTTTGATCCTTGCTACCACCAGTGTGTGTGCGCGCGTGCATGTGTGTAGTTGTGTGCGCGAGCGTGCGCGCATGTGTAAATAGTTGACCCTATTGCTCTCTGTGTTACTGTCTTCCCAAGATGTAGTAGTTAAGCTACTGTGTGGAGGCAGCCTTCTGTACCGTGGACACTGATCCTTGGACACTTGCTCTTGCCTAGGCATGCTCTGGCTGGTCGTGGCGGTCCTGCTGAGGATGCTGGTGGTGGTCTTGGCAGGGTCCCCTATCTACCAGGACGAACAGGAGAGGTTTGTTTGTAACACCCTGCAGCCAGGATGTGCCAACGTTTGCTACGACTTCTTCTCCCCAGTGTCGCCGCTGAGGTTCTGGTTAGTGCAGAGCCTGGCGCTGCTCCTGCCTTCGGCAGTTTTTGGCGCCTACGCCCTGCACCGCGGCGCGAAGCTGGTTGCGGAGGGAGCCTGCAGGCCCCGGGTGCCCAACCTGTCCACCGCCTACCTGGTGCATCTGCTGCTGCGCACGCTGCTGGAGGCGGGACTGGCTTCCCTGCACTACTTGCTCTTCGGCTTCTCTGTGCCCAACCGAATTTCTTGCTCGCGTGTGCCCTGCTCAGGAACTGTGGACTGCTACGTGTCGCGGCCCACGGAGAAGTCCCTCCTGATGCTGTTCGTGTGGGCCATGAGCGCGCTATCCTTCCTGCTCAGTCTGGCGGACCTGCTTTGCAGCTTGCGGAGGTCACGAGGGACCAATCAAGGGGTGAAGGGCGAGGCCAGACCGGTCTGCGGAGTCCCCACACTCCCCCCTTGCCTCTTACAGGACTCTCAGGGTTGTCAAAGCCAGGGTCAGGTGAACCATGAAGGCGGCCAGGAGGAGCAGGGTGTGCCTGAGTTCCTTAGCAGGTGCACGGCAGGGCACGCAGGCGACAGTCACGTTGGTCAGGTCATCGTGTCAGGACGGGTGGAGCATTCAGACCAAGACGATGGTGAGGCCACTTCCTCAGCTGGCGACAGGTTGGTGGTGGCTCACACAGAGCATGAGTTTAGATCCCACAGAGAGACTTCTTCGGACTTAGGGGGCAAAAACACCCGGTCAAGTGAGCTCCCCTTGGCCTCCCAGAGCCACCTGGTTCGGCACTGTTCAGCAAGCCAGCCTCTGGCTCCTGGTCGGCTGGCCACATCGGGCAGCGCTCCCCACCTGAGACCCAAAAAGTCTGAGTGGGTGTGAGGACAGTCACACAGAACCTACAAACCCTTTCCCCAGCTTTTTGCATTATGACAGGGCAAGGCGGTGCAGAAGTCCCTTCATCCATGTTCTTGCTGAGACCGTGTTAGGTTTAACTAGAGATGTGATCTCCTTGATGGAGAATCCCGTGGAAAATTGCCCAACACTATTCTAGGAACCTGAGGTCAAGATGCCCCAGCAAACACATCCTCCGTTAAACTGCCTACCTGTGCCTACCCCTATACCTATCCACTTCGCTTGGTTAAGCAAAACCTCCCTCTGCGGTTGCAGAGCAAAACACCAAGATGCGTTCTTAAAACTTCTCAAAATGTTTTTTTAAAACTTTGCTTTTAAAACTTTACCCTAAAAACTCATTACTACACTTAGGTACGAAATACCTAAGTATATTCTTAGCCAGTAATAAAGACTCTCTCAATTAACTATAAATTGTGTCTGAGTTGTTATCTCTGGTGCGCCCCCCACAACAGGAGCAGGCTGTGCCTATGAAGCCAAAATCCTACAGTGAGAGCACCACTCACTTCAGCCACGAGGCAGGTGCCACAAGAGACGGCGATATTCTATGCAAGGGATGAAAGTTCTCATCTCACTGTCTACCATTGCGCCCCAGCTCCCTTCACTGGTCTGGACTTCCGTTTTCTCTTTGGAGTGACGAGGGACCTAGAGTGTTCTTTGTTGCTCTTCAAACTGAAGACCCTGCCAGAGTATGACCATCAGGCATGCTGACATACTAAGGGTTGAAAGCAGTCTTTCCGTCTTGCTAACTGCCCAGCATAGGTTTTGGTAGGTTGAGCTATAATAACAAAAAGTCTGTGTTACTATAAAAAAAAAGAATGAATGAAATTTATGCCCTGGCAATGCTGAAGCATACATGGGCAGCCTGTATATGGCAGTTCTGTTGAACTTGTCCATATTGGGTTTCATGATCTAAGTTGATGAGGACAACTGGCCAGATCTCTTCCTCATTATAACAAAATACCGGAGACAAAATTATAAAGCAAAGATATGTAACTTTTATAGTCACAGAGATTGGGAATTCCAGGGTTAGACTAGAGATGTTCTTTTAGCTGCTTCATAACACAACAGGGAATTCACAGAGAGGCAGATCAGTGTGCCAACTCGTGTCTCTCTTCTTCTTTTAAAAGGACTGTGGTGGGCATGCCTTTAATCCCAGAACTTGGGAGGCAGAGGCAGTGAGTTCGAGGCCAGCCTGGTATACCAAGCGAGTTACAGGACAGCCAGAGCTGTTACACAGAGAAACTGTCTTGAAAGCAAAAAAAATTCTTGTTTATTATTATGTACATGATGTGTGTGTTTATGTGTGTGTGTGTGTGTGTGAGAGAGAGAGAGAGAGAGAGAGAAAGAGAGAGAGAGAGAGAGAGAGAGAGAGAGAGAGAGAGAGAGAGAGAGAGAGAGATCGTGTGTTTGTGGAGGTTGGAGAATGGAGTCAATTCTCTTTTTCTACTGTGTATTTCAGAGATTGAAGACTAGCATGGTATTTGTTATCTCTGGTATTTTATTATAGCAACAAGTAGTGCTGGATGCCCGTGGAGACAAAAGCAAAAGAGATCCCATAAGGATCAACAGGATTATCAAGCAGTCTGTGGGTAGCCAAGGAAAGTGGTACTTATGCACTTAGTAACCTCTCTCAGATGCAGCACCCGACACTGGGGACTTCCCTCAAATTCCCTGGGTGTGGATTCAGTTCCAGGAAAGATGAGAAAAGTGGTACGTTATGGCAAGGAAGGGAGGACTGCAGGACTCTGGTGCAAATCTCGGGGCTCTCACTCCATGCCCACTCCAGGACCGGCTTTGAAGGGCTCTGGTGACTCTTGCTGGCTGTGTGGGGCATAAGTTCGTTTCCCTAGGAATGAAGTGGATGCCAGGCACCCTCCTCCTTGAATTTCAAGTATGTGTGTGTGTGTGTGTGTACGTGTGTGAGAGTGTGTCTCTGTGTGTGTGCCTCTGTATGTGCGTGTGTTTTTGTAATTTTCTTGCTCCCAACATCCATACAACAATCCCTTCCTTGGAGAAGTTTAAACTTGACCTCCAGCTCTATTGCTGGTCCCAGAGAGAGATGAGATGCTAGGATTTCATAGCCTTATAAGTTGAACCTATAAGGTGAAAATCATTTTATAGCGAATCGAGAAAATTAAAGTCAAACGTCAATTGGGTATACCACAGTGTCACTTGTCTGGTGTGTGGGAGGACATATCTTTGATCCAAACACTGAATAAAACCCGGATTTTAGTAGAAACGGTCTCTTTCTTCCCCCAGAGGGGTCGGAGTGTGCCCCATCACTTCTCTGGTTACCATCTGCCTCTTCGGCTGAAAGGTCCTGGTGGGTCATCCGTGTACCACTGGGCAGGTCTCAGGCAGAGCTACTTCTCCACACAGACACACACACACACACACACACACACACACACACACACACACACACACTCCTCAGTAGGCTAGCAAACAAGACTTTGAAATCTGTGGAGTCAAGTTAACAAAACAACATTTATGGAACATCGGCTCTGCACAGAAGTCTACTTTTGTTCCTTCCCGTGAAGCTAGCTCTCCATATGCCACGAGCAGTCAGGAAACTGAAGTGGGCTAAGTCCCAGGGCACATCTGCCCAGAGCCTCGCAAGTCCTCCGGCCCCAGCAAACTGTCCGTTATTTTCACAGGGCTCACAGAACAGAAGCAGGTGACATCTGCTTTTACTGAGTGGATGTGGGAAGCCCACCTGATTACCCATAGAGCCTCAGGACAAGGACTCGGTCATGTGTTCCCATGAGATGGCTCTAGAGCTGAGGTCACAGTGAGCGAGAAGTGAAATGACATTTGAAGGAGGAGGAAGGTGTTACCTGGAAAGGGTAAGGTTTGTTGGGTTTTGGTTGCTCTCAGTCTCACCAGCAGGGGTCGCTCTTGGACCATAGTTAAGATCCAATAGTTAAATGCACTAAAACACGTGAACTTTTCTTCTCCAGATTGATACATTGCTGCCCCTTCATTTCTTTTTCATCTTTGCCTTCTCTGCTCATAGAAATCAGAGTTTAAGAATTATCTATAGTCCATATGGGAATTCTATTAGATTGATTTCAGTCAACAAAACGATGGGGACTTGGAATGGAGAAATTAGGGGATAGTGGGAAGCTGAACATTCTAGTTTCATAGGAAGGAGTTCACTGGACAAGACAAGAGATTGTCCTTGTGGGCATATGGGTGCATTCTGTAATCCTAGCATGTGGGAGGTAGAGGAAGAAAGATCCAAAGTTCAAAGTCATAAGGACTAGGTGTGACGGTATGTGCCTATAATTCTGACGCCGTGAAGGTGACAGAAAGATCCCTGGGATTCAGAGGCAGCAAGTATAACCTATCTCAAACAAAAGAATGTGATTGAGCAAGGTTCCCACTGTTGACTTCTGGCCTCCACTTGCATACATGCACACATATACATAGACTCATGAACCATCATCTCCTCTAAAATATTCAAGGTCATTGTTTGCTATACAGTGGTTTCGAAACCAGCCTGGGAAACAGCCAACCCTGTGTCCAAAAAGCAAAGCAAGACAGAATAACCAAACAAACATAGACAGAGCATAATATCTGAGAGAAGAAATGCAGAAGGTAGAGGTCACACAAAGGAAGGGCACAGGAGGAGAGCAGGAGGTTACACCAGGGATATGCTTCATTGACTTCTCAAACTGGTTCTCACTCCAAGGGCGGTGGGCACCCCTATCTGATGGTGGTGGGGGAGGTTGTGGTGAAAGTAGGCCCAGATTCATGTGTGTGGTGAAACAGGCAAGGCAGAGAATGCAGTAACATTGTCCTGTAGTCTCTGGGAAAGCCTTGATCTTATGAGGGAAGCAGCCAACAATCTAGCTGGGATTAGAACCTTTGGTTGCTGCCTTGAGTCTTCTCACCAGAGCTAATGAGTGCTTTACGGAAGGGTTCTGATGAACTTCAGCTGCACCCTGACTTTATGAATTTGGAAACATCTGTGTAGGCCTGCACTACGGCTCCTCAGTCAACACGGGGAGCCGAAGGTCAATGCCCTGTAATCCCTTTTGAGATGGTGTCTTCAATAGTGTAGGGTTTTCCCATAAGGTCCCACCTCTTAAAAACTCACAATGCAGAATAAACACCCATTGATCTTAAGAGTATGTGAGTCATTTTAAACCTAAAGTACTCCAACTAAGCCATTTCCTTCATATAAGATTCAATTTACCTGCATGAGGTTTGGAGAATTTTCTGGCATGGGGAGTATCAAGCCCAGGATATGGCTGCAGCATTTTGCTGTAAATCTCTGCATTTTAAGAAAGCTTGCTTTATCTAAGTTTTTGTTCCTTCTTTTTTAGTGGTCTCAAGGGTTGTCCTGGGGCTTGGTGTGTAAGGGGCCAGTGGTTTCCAATCGACCAGTGTCCTCAGTGCCTCATTTTGTAAGAAGAAGTTGTTCGTTGAGCCTATCCTCAAAAATGTGAATATCACAGAACTTATCTCTTAAAAGTAGCCCTGAGGAAGTGTGATGGTGCACACCTGCCACTCCCTCACTGTGGTGAAGGCAAGCCCACCAAAGTGCAAGGGTAGCCTGGGCTACGCAGGGAGCTCCTGCTACACAAAAGAAGCAGGAGTGTTAAGATGTAAAAATTTATCTTATACTTAAAAAAATACAACAATAGTAAAGCAACTAGACGTGGTGGTTCACGTCTTTATCCCAGGCAGAGGCTGAAACGCCAGTTCCAGAACTCCTAGGACAACACAGTAAGACTCTGTGGCAAAAAATAAAAACAAGCATACAAGCAAACAGGGTGGACATATCTTTGCAGCAAGTGGGGTTTTTGTTAGTGTTTGTTTACTTGTTTTGAGACAGTGTCTCCTGAAACCCAGACCAGCTTCACTATGGAACCCAGAATAGCTTTTAATTCTCCACCCTCCTCTTGCAACTGCCTATACTCTGGAATTACAGGGTGGCACTATCACTGTTCCTGCCTTGCCACCTCTGCCACCCCAGCTTAAGCAGAACTTAGTAATTACCCAGGCTGGCCTTCAACCCTCAGTCCTTCTGCTTCTACCTCCTGGGGCACTACCATTTTAGTTTAATTTTGTTGCTTTTTTTTTTTTTTTTTTGGAGGGGGACACTGAACCCAAGGCTTTGAGCAAGCTGGGAAGTGCTGGACTTGGCAATTTATCAGCAGGCAGAGAGTTCTTTAGGATGGCAATAGGAGTTTCAAGAAGGCACTGTTCTGCAGGTTTCATTTGTCCTAGAATTCAGTTCCTGCAGCTGCCCTGAAAAGCAAGAATGCTTTATCCTTCGGGGGAAAATTGGGGAGACAGACTAGACAACAGACAGAGGGTCCCATAATCTACACACCAGCTCCCCCATTTCCCCAACCTT